GTATATTTATTATTATAACCAAAGTATTAATTTACGTGTGTATGTACGTACATAGCATCAATTTTATTTTATTACTTTTTTATATTAAGAAATTATATGATATAATATTAACTTTTTAATTAAGTCAAATCAAGATTTATTTTTTATTTTTTATTTTAGAATCTGTAGCACCCTACTTGTACAATTCTGGAATTTAGTTATGAAGTTACTCGCCTGACGGCTATTTAACTTAATTTTAATTTAATTTAAATTTGACCTAAACTATTTAAATATTCTAAATGCAATAAATCACTTGAGTTCTACCTTTTGTTATTATCTAACAACATTTTGTCATCTCCTTTCTGCTGACATTAAAAAGTGCGCCAAAGTTTAAATACACAAAGGAATCTTATTTATCTAATTTGGTGCGCTGGAAAATAGTATGTAAACAAGACGAGACTTGGCCTGTACAACTGGTCTTGGTCTTGCGCTCCCAGTCTTGGTCCTGGTCTTGGTCTTGCAGCAAGAGTCTTTCAAGTCTTGCAATTACCTATTAGACTATTGCTATTAATTTAAGTTTACTTTAGATCTTAGGAATTAACATAGCCATAGTAAAGAACAATCAGATTAATAAATGTCTAAAGATTTGATAAAAAAATCGATAACTGCCACATGGTTATCAACTGAGCTATATGCCGTTTTCCATGGGAGTAACTGTTTCTTACTAAATATTTACGCTTTATAAGCTTACATGTGCTAAAACATGTAAAAAACAAATCATTTACAATAAAAAGACTGTATTTTAAAGAATCTCTCTAGAAAGAGATTGAACCCTCAACTTATATGAAATTTAATAAAAGAGTTTAAGATTTATCATTTATTTCAATAAAAAATAAAATACAACACAAATCAAATAACATAACAGTACACAACAGCTTTGTCATTAGGTTCTGTTACTTTATATCAATTCTTTCTTTTGACCAAGAATTAATACAAAGTAACCATCTGGCTGACTCATCACTTAACCTATTTCTATATTTTCTAATTATTAATGATGCTTTAGAAAATAGTCTCTCAGCAGGTACTGAAGTTTCAGGTATTGAGAGAAAATCACGGGCCATCTTCGATAAAGTCGGATACTCTGTCTCATGCGTCCTCCACCAATCTAAGATGTCTTCCGAGCTGGCAGCTCATGGTTTTCTCAGGTACTCCTCCAACTCGTCTATCACTAAGCCTTGAAGACAAGATCCAGATGACGTCGAGGGACATTTATACAGTTTATCAAAGTCTATTACGTCTTCATCTTCATCACATATCTTATTTTCTTTTCTTGGTAATTCCAGAGATTTTTCAGTGAGTGTAGACTGTAGTATTCTTCATAAAGTTCATTGAACTTGCGTAGGCTTTCTGTTTTAAGTTGCTTGTCCCATATTGTCAGGTCAAAAGTCTGAGCCTTATGCCTTGGGTCTAAAATTAAAGAAGTACAATAAATCCAGTTGCTCTTCTTATAATGTTTAAGCATTTTGTCTCGAACTGCATGGAAAGCCAGAATGAGCCTTTCATCTACTTCAGATCGATTAGGTTTCTCATCTAACTGTTTTACCATGGATTCAATTTTATCGAGCAAAAGATTGAATGATACAATGACTAGCGGTAATGTAACATATTTTTCTCCACCAAGTTTTGTACTTAAAAGTTTAAAGTTTATAAGAAACTTATGTATTTTTTCGAGTATTTGCCATTCACTAGCTGTGATTTGAAAATCATTCAATTCGGTGACAGAACTGCACAATATGTTAATGCCCGCTCTCACTTTTAAACCAAATCCAATCATATCATGTGTGGAATTCTATCTCGCTGGACAGTCAAGAATGGGATTCAGATTTGATGGCACGCCAGCTGCTTCACAAGCAGACTGAAACTTCTTCTTCACTATTTCACTTCTTTTTATTTTACTGGAAATACTGCCTAACTTTGTTACAGATGTACGTGAGTCAGCAATATTTGGTGCATATTCTTCATCTTCTTCATCTTCCTCAGTCTTCATACTGCTGATCTTGCGCGTTAGTGTCAGTCTCACAGTGTAATGCTAAGGTCTTTAATAAATCTTGTACACCAAGGTTTAAAATGTGAGCAAAGCACCTTAAATGTTGATTGTCTGAATCAAAGTGTGGTGGCAGCTGTTTGCCTAGTTCATACATAAATTTGGTATTTGCAGTTGCGTTGTCGACCGTGATACCTTGTATTTTATCAATTATGTCATATTCCAAAAAACATTCGTGGAAAACCGCTGCAATATCTTCCCCAGTTTGTCGACCGCGTAATGGTATAAAATCAAGAACTACAGATCGATACTTCCATTCGTTGTCTATATAATGCATAGTAACCCCGTAGTAACTCCTACCAGCAATTGACGTCCACCCATCAATGGTAAACGACATTTTAGATGATAATTGTTGAAGTCGTTCCTTGAGATTCAATTGGAGCTCTTTAAATCGCTCTTTGATTTTCCTTCTAAGTGTGGACCTTTTAGGAAACACCATATTCGGGCAAATACGTCGAAAATATACTTGTGTAGCTTCGTCATCGAAAAATGAGAAGGGAAGATATTTTTTCACCACCCAATCAATTGTAGCTATCGTGATGTTGTCACTACTGTTTTCCGACTGAAATAAAACAATAAATCTTGTGTTATTATTTAAAACATACTAGGTTTGAGCGTTTAGGAGGAGGAGGTTTGTTGTTGTTAAATCGAGAAATTTTTTAAATTGAGGTTTGTTATATTAAGGTTGCACTGTGCTGTAATTTACCAAAATAAAGTACTTAGTTGTTACAGGCCGATTATGAAAACAAATGAAAATATGGGTGTTTTATAAAAAATATTTAACACGATAATTACATACTTAATATGTGTTATGTAATTGTGAGATAATTCTTTGCTGTCCACTTCTTCCAGCAGTTACGAAAAAGCTTGCGATATCTCCGCTTAATTTTGGTTTAACAGGAAGAAATATTTGTGATTCCTTTTTGTGGAAAGATATTAGATGTTTCCTTAAGCCTGAAGTGTTTCTGTTTTTCATTTTTATTTCAACTTTTTTATGTTGGCACAATTTACACAAGGCAGTTTGGGATGCATGAATTATTTAGAAAAACTCCTCAAATTTGCTTTTGAGTCTTTTAGATTTATAACTCAAACTCTCATTACTCGGACTAGAACAATTTGAATCTTCGTCACTCATATTAAATTGTAGACGTGATACGTTTTCCGAAAACAACAAGAATTAGCACGGCACGTGCCGGCTCTATTAAAAGGATGCCGCCGCAAATCAAACGATGCCGTGCGGCGTACAAACACAGATTAATACCTACTTGTACAGATGCGTGACTTTGTACCAATCACTATTCTTTACGTATAAGAGAATGTTTTGTCGAACATCTATATACTAATATTATAAAGCTGAAGAGTTTGTTTGTTACTATTCCACGTGGAAGAAGTCGCGGGAACTGCTAGTAAATACTTACTCTCATCATCTCCCTCAGAGATATTCGGGCTCATAAGCAATACAAAAATCCTATCACAGGTTTTTTTTTTTAAAAGTACGTAGGTACGCTTTTTATATTATTTTATTAGTTTTGTAGATTTTTTTACACGTTTCAAGTATGTTTAAAAGTGGCTACAATATTTATCAAACGGGTGATATTTGACCACTTTTTGCTATTTTTTCTTGTAAAAAATCAAGAAATTTAAGAAATATTTTGACTAAATGTACAATAATAGTACCGAAGTAATTAATTTAAATCCATATAATCAATATTATAATATATTACTATTAATATATAATATATTACTAGAATAAATTATTATGACATCTACTATCTATCCTTACCATTATCTAATCATAATACTACTTGCGTGATCAGTGTAATGTATTCGTTTCCATTCTAAGCACACTGAAACTTATTTATTCTTTGAAACACCTGTGCTCTTAAAACTATACCTAGGCCCTGTGGCGGCAATCAATTAGTGTCAAATGTTGTGATTTCGGCGCGGCGGCACCGATTGTTGTATGTGATTTCAAAAGAAGCCGCCGCCGCGTGTATCATCACCATGTACTTCCGAAAAGCGGCAAATTTCTTTGAGAAGTCAGTACAAAACCTTTGATGCCGCATTATCAAAGTGCCGATGGTTAAAACAAAACTATGCATGCACTCTATTTGATTTTAATGGATATTTTTTTATTCGCTATGTATGCCTATGGAAGGTATTAGTCGTAATGCGCATAGGTCCAGTTTTTCATATTATTTGATAGAGCTTTTTGCGTCTCATAGAATTCCTAAGCGTGCCTATACACCGAACTGTTATTCCTAACTACTCCGTGAAATAAGGCTAAGTCCTAGCTGCAAGACGCAAGAGTCTTGCGGGATCAGTCTTGTTCTTGCTCAAGTCTTGCATGGTCAGTCTTGGTCTTGGTCTTGCTAAAAATACGCGGTCTTGTTCTTGGTTTTGGCCTTGCTAAAATGCAAGACCAAGACCAAGACTGCAAGACCAAGACTGAATTTGGGCAACACTAATTATTATGCGCCAGGACTTCGAGGAGCGGTTGAGTTAGGTATAATGAACAACTTTTACTATAGGAGCAACACTGAATTAAATAATCAGCTATAGGCGATTTAAAATTAGAAAATTTTGTATGAAACAGATGATATATATTTTGTGAAGTGTTGCTCCTATAATAAAAGTTGTTCTGTATATTTAACTTATCCACTCCACGAAGTCCCGGCACAAAATATTATTACACCTTATATATAACAGCCGGACATAGCGTCCGAACCACACATAGTATTTTTTTCATATATATTAATTAAACGAAATAATCAATGAAAACCATTCAAATATTGGAGCTCCATTTATTTTGATGCTTCTGCTATATAAAATATTAATAAATCAATTAAATTTTCATATTTTACGTTTGTATACTTTGGTCATAATATATGTCTGTGCGCGGGTCAGTCTGATTATTCTAGTCCTTTCCTAAATCCTGTAGGGTTTTTGCATCTGGTGCTTTTGGCGTGTCAGGAAGTTTCGGTGCATCAGGGATCTTCGGTGTGTCTGGCAGCTTGGGACCTTCAGGAACCTTTGGTAAGTCGAAGCTCACCACCGCTGAAACCAGCATCAAAAGGCAAACGAAGACCTGGAAATTATACTTCGATTATAGCATAATCATATCCTCAGTCTCTTATGGTACTACTGATAAAAAAAAGAGAAGAGAGAAGAGCCCTCCACGCAGGCGTAGATGAAATAGGTGATAATGACTTAAGCCTAATGCTTGTCCAGGCTATAGACTTAAATGCTCGTAGAGGTCATCGGTCATAATGCTCGTAAAGATTATGATCCTACTTGATCGTTCAGGAACTGAACGTAAATAGCCATATTGGATGTGGACCTAAATACTCGTCCATGGCTATGAGCGTGTAGGTTCATAAGCCTATATGCTCGTACATACGTACAGAGCTACATTTTAAAAATAAAAATAAAGTTTATGGATCCAAATGTTTATATAGGTTATTGACCTAAATTATCGTCCAGCTTATGAACCTAAATAATTTTAAGAATAAATAAAAAAAAACTACAATTGTCAAATGCTTATAATACTTACTATAATGTTAAATATAATATAGTACGGTAACGTTAAATGATATCTATTTAACGAATTTGAATAAGATAAATTATTATGAACTTTATAGAAACTTAGCTTTTGCCCGCGACTTCGCCCGCATGGTATACTTACATAAGGCAGCATTACTAACATTATTAAAATAAAAAAAGATTCATTATTTTATCTTTTACAATGACGAACTTCCATACAAACTTTAATTCCCTATTTCAATTCCTTTACCGCAATAAAAAGCAACCTATGTCCAACTTTATTTATGGTTTAGGCGTGGAGCGTAACAAACGTATATACAGACCTACTTTCGTATGTAATAATTAAACGATTCTCCTTGTTGCTCATTACATCATTGAATAAGAGATTGCCAGACATTTAACGAAGTAAATAGACTAAGAACAATATAAATAACAATTGCTTGGTCGACTTTTAAACTCATCGTTGTTTTTTTTCGAGTTTAAATTGAGGAGATTATGTGAACTGAAGAAAAAAATATTGAGGTATAAATAATGAATGTGTTGTAGCCAACTGATTAAAAATCCGTTCAATTAGCTAGCCCTATAATAGAAATATCACAACGCCCTACTACAGTGCTTCTGTACAAAGCCCAGGGAACTGGTTAACTGTCAAGGATCACGTTATGAAACACAATTATTAGTTTTATTAATACAGACTAATTCACCGACTAAAGTATAACATGTTTCAGTATTTTATCTCTGAAAATTTTTTAAAGCTTTTTATTCAAATTGAAATACAAATGAAAAGAAAAACATAAATCTAAAGCAAAACTTATTCAAAAACTGAAACATATGCAAATTCTTTTGATCGGCATTACACAATTAATTATATACGTCCTCTAGTATAGCAAAGCTTAATGTTATTACCACATTTTATTTTAAAACGCCATCTACTATAACTCAAAATATATAAAACATGATTTCTTTTGTATAAAAAAATATTTGTATTTGAATATTTTCTAAAATTGTAATTTAAAATATTATTTTTGTTGTAAATTATGTACTGAAATACCACTTTTCATCACTATATAAGGAAATCTTTATAATCATCGATATAGGTCCAAAAACATAGAAGTTTCATACAAACGTTTTCACCCTTTTTAACCGCTTTCGGGTGGAATTTTCAAAAATACGTTCTTAGTATACCTCCACATAATAAGAGGAATGTATCTTCCAAATTTCAAGGTTCTACGACCAACGGTTTAGGCTGTGCGTTGTCTGTTAGGCAGTATGTCAGGACATCTCCTTTTATTTATTTATGTATTATACCTATATAGATTAGACAATGTAATAAATAAATAAAGATGAAAAAGCGAAAACCATTAAGTAGAGATTTTCGTTTCTGTAAATAATAGGTATAGCAAATGAAATAGGCAAGGAAAGGCTTTTAAAAAAAGAAAGTAATTGAAGTAAATAATAAAAGTGCTTACCACAACTCGCGACATCGTTCCGATATCCTGATTCCTAGCTACTGACAACTGGTTAGTAGAACTAGATCAACCTATTTATACGGACCTCATAAGATATATAATGATCAATCCATTATATGGAAAGCAATTACAAATAAACAACAATGAAATTACCTGTCAATTAAAGAAATTGTCAGGTATTATTAACATGTCCCTGGATAATTTATGGCGTGCTGGTTATTTTTTATATCTACAGTTCGGTGGTTTTGTGTATTAGGTGTTAATAAATTAATTTTTAGGAAAACGTATTTCTTATTGAATTTTTATAGAATTACGAATCAAAAGATATGTAAAAACTATTCGGTGAAAACAGATATCACCTATCTATACTAACAATGTAAATGTTATGAAGAATAATTTGATTGTTTGTTTGCAATGTATAAGCTCCGAAACTACTGAATCCATTTTAATCATTCTTTAACCGACCTATACTTATAGGGTGGCCATCATACGCGGGTGACATCCAGTTTCAGCGAAGTCGTGAGTGGTTTTAAAATTGTTGAAATGTGAAGTGATGTAGAATTCATTTTAAATCGGACGACCATTTCCTATCTAATGATAGTTACAAAATATTTTTTACTTAAAGTTGGTGTTCTCCCTAAATAATCGATTAATCATTGAATCAATTAGGTTCATGATAATTGTAGATTTGAGACTTGCGTGTTATTAAGTGGATGTGTATTTATCAATTGTATTAATTAACAAGTAACAATGCAACAATTAGTTGCACACGCATGTCGAAAGAATCTACAACTAGGCAGACATCTTCATATATATACTTATGTTAGATTCAAACAATAACTATAAATTTATGAGTTATTGTTTGACTCTTGGTTTCAAAGTGTCGCTTTTTCTGAGGTCTCGGGTTTGATTCCTGTCACGTCAATGAAGACCTGACGGGAATCAAGTCAATCAGTGAGAAGAAAATGAATTTATACAGGGGCATTATTCGGGTGTGTGCCGGAAACACAGCCCACTGCCTTGTGGTATAATGGGCGTTGCGTTTCAAAATGATAAGAGTAGTTTGGAAAAACAAAAAAAAAGTATAAAATTATTAAACCCCTTGTTCTCTATTTGAGGGCTTGAAAAAAATTGCAGCGTCCATATTAAATTTAGTTGTTGCGATGCCAAAATATTAAAAAAAAATTAAGATACCAGCAGAGCGATTCTTTAAAAATTCGAACCCGAGTTCAAATTCACTCATGTGTATGAATTCGCGTTATTTAGTGAAGATACTCTATTGATTACATTTTTTTTTTAAAATACAAAATAAAATTGTTTGGTTATACCTGTTTCAAATATTGTATTCCTCTGTCATTTTGAAACCCACTTCATTTATGCCACGAAACGTAATTACCAATTTAGGATTGAGTGGATGCTGTTTTTTGAAGTGTATAAAGGTGTGTGGACACCTGAGTGAATCCGAATTTGGGTTCGGATTTTTACAGAATCGCTGGGCAGCCTTGGTATTTTGTAGAAATCAAACCCAGATCGTCGAAGCGCATCAAAGGCTCAATCTAATAAATTATTACCAGCATTTGAAGCTTTATTTCTAACAGAATATTATTACTGGTATAACTATGTGTTCATTTCACGAGGCAATTACAATGAAATGTAAGATATTTAAATTTAAATGCTAGGCGTTATACGTTGTTAATTTGTGATTGAATATGTTTTCATTTGCAGACGAAGAGTTTGTGTAATACTTTTGAATGCCTTAACGGCCTTTTTAACTCTGAGAAAATGCCTTACGCACTATCACTGACGGCAGGGGGTCTGTGAGACTCAGAAGAGACCCTTTTCGCCGAGCGAACTTTCTCGCTATAACTACAAAAAAGTATTTTACATTTTATCAATTAATATGTTTATATTCTTTTATAAGGTCCTATTTTAGTTTTCGGAGTTATATTTATTTTATTTATTAAAAAAATTAAATTAAAATAACTCTAAAATACATAATAACAGAAATGTTATAGAATCGAGTCCCATCTCAGAGTGCCAGGGACAAAAGTGGATTTTCATTAAGAAAATCTTCTTTTCTAAGACTTTCACTATGTTTTTTATTTTTTTATTTATATAAATAATTAATATTTTTAGTGTTACCTATTACATAAAAAATATCAATATCACTGAAAAGCATGAAATAAAAAGTAAAAAAAATTGATCCGCCTTTAAAATTTAAAAATGTTTCTTATTTTGTAATCTTTTAACAAGAACTGTGTCAAAAAAACTTATCGTTGAAGCGCCTTTTTCTCGTTATAATTACGCTTACATTACTAAGCCTTTAGTAAACCATCTTTCAGTGTGTTTCAGTTATTTAATAATTTAACTTTGTTTATGATTTTTTCAGGTCTAATGATATTTTATTTTTATTTATTTATTTAGCTCACAAAACAAGTTACAGTAATATAATTGAAATAATTATACATAACTAAGTAATAAACCATACCGTAACTATTAAACAAATGAGCATAGAATGGACCAAACATACAATGTAACATCAAAACGTAGCCGCAGAACATTATACAAAAAGAGAAAAAAATGCTTTTAAGAGTGCAGGATGCCTTGGACTTGTCTTTTAAAAAAAGTATTTTAACGTTAAAGATATCTAGTGAACAATGCTTGGCTACAAGATCATTATATAGGCGACACATACTTGTTATAGGATTATAAAATGAAGTGTTATTTCTATAGATTTGTACGTATATTTTGTTTTTATGAGGATTACGCGATCTGTATTTTATTGATATGATTAATAGTAATAATAATTATGAAAGTTTATTCACTTAAGCAGTATATTGACAAACCCTTTTTTATTCCGCCAAACTGCTTAACAGTTTGTTGGCAGACAGAGTTCCCTCTACATATTACATTGTACTTCTCAGATACACTCCGTCACATTTGTCTTATGGAAACAAGAACATCTTATATGGCATGCACAAATGTTCAGCTATAACACTACTATATTTCATATTTTTCTAATTAAAACCAATAGATGTTCTATTGGTTTCTCAACCACATACATAATAGTTTAATTATTTTAAATATTGCTTTAATTAAACACAAAAATTTACCCAAGGGAAGTACCTAATGTAATCTAATAAGAAGGTAATCTACACATGTCTCCTCTATAATTATATTATATTTCTCAAATATTGTCATCACAAACAACACAGGTCAAATCCACTTCATTATCTTTGAAGGTCAAATCGATTTCTTAATATTAAATATGAATTCATAATGTAGAGTTATTTTAAGTAAAATATTAATAATTATTCAAAGCAAACGATTCACAGATAAACCAGTCAATATTTGATCTGCAAAACAAACTTCGTAGGCTCTTGTAATATTTACTTATATATGTGAATAAGCGGTTTTATTGGTCCTAGTTTGCTTACAATATGTCTAATTATTATTATTCCTTATACGTAGCAATTATCATAATTAAGTTCACTCTGGCAGAAAATATGGTTCATGTTTGTTTATGCTTTATTATACTTAAGATTTATGCCTCCTTGATTCTGATTTTGAAAATCGTTAGTTTTGAATGTGTGTTTTTATAATGAGTGTATATCAAACGAGTTTCAGATAAGGAAGGGTGCCATTCACTGTTCTGCGTAATAAAATAACATTATTATAGAAAAGATATGCCACAAAGCAGGGGTTCCCAAAGGCAAAGAGGCTTAATACTCTGTACACAACGCCCTAATTTTTCTTCTGGGTATCTTTCCGCCCCCCCCCCCCCTTTGGGGGGGCACAAGGGGATGTTATTACCCACTTTGGGAAGGGCTGCCATAAAGGGTGGTACATATAATTTAAGCAGGTAATGGGCTCCACGGTAATATTTTTTTATATAGTGGAGTTTTGTACCTGTTGGTAATTCTACTACTACTACTATAAATAAATTTTTGACATCAACACAACAAAATTGATTACTTATTACAATGTTTAGTAGTAAAACGACGTTTTGTCAACGGCTTTTCAAAATAAATTAAATAAAAAATGTAGTTATTAGTTAACTGTACATTTATTTTTTCGTATCAAGACTAATTAGTAAGATTATTGGGAACTTAATAAAATATTACAACTTAATAAAACATTTATAAATAACGTGTTAGTGAAAAAATAAATTGTTCATCCGTCTCGAGCTAATTCGACTTGAGCTGAAACAAAAAAAAATATATATTAAATTTTTAATAATAATAATAGTATATAACACAAAAAAATATTTAAAAAGGACAAGTTTAAATACTAGTGTAATTATTCATCATCATCATCAGCCCTTTTACGTCCCCACTGCAGGGGCTCAGGCCTTCCTTATGGATGGTTAAGGAGGATGGGCCATGACCCTCCACGCTGGCCCAATGCGGATTGGAGGGTATTAACGACTGCAAATGCAGCCGGGACCAACGGCTTAACGTGCCTTCCGAAGCACGGAGTAGCTCGAGATAATAATTTTTTGGTCACCCATTCCGTGACCGACCCTCGCGTAAGTTGCTTAACGACTACGATCAAGGGCCGCGGCGCTAATCTACTATGCCAACGAGCTACTCAATTATTAAATATGATTATTTATAAAAACATGATGCCAAACAAATGTATTTCTTTTTTATAATTTGTTATTTATATTTCTATTGTAGTATAATATGTTTTATTTATACTATAATAAAAATGTAGTACTCTAGTACAATACCCTATTTTAGAGTACGGCTGGCACCCTACCTCAGACTAATATAGAGACTAAAATAGATAATATAGAGAACGCCAACATGCGAACTCTATATTTTAATTTATAATATTAATACAGGACGCTAAAATACTTATTTTCACGGCATGTTTTTTAAATAAGTGCCGTCATGCATATAATATCTATTATTATAACTAAAAATAATATTTATTTTTAGTTTTTTATAAGTCCGTTCTCTTTATTTATCTTCTTTGAAGTTAGATATACCTACTCTATTTCTTCTAATAAAAATTGGCAATACTAACCTGAAGTTTTATTATTAAAGACGAGAACCGATTACTAAGGCCTTAGTTCGTCCGTCTGTCTGTCTGTCACCGACTGTGTCTCATGAACCGTGATAGTTAGACAGTTGAAATTTTCACACATCATGTTTTTCTGATGGCAAAATAAACAGAATAAAATAAATGTTTTTACCGTACAAAAAAAACGTGATTTTTTTACTTGTTTGCAGTTTGTAATCTTCATCGGTTGTAACTTAGCCGGTTTTTTAACGTTTACTTTCACGTTCGATTGTGAGCGCTTTAAGATTTTAGTACGCAAAGAAACCGGCATAGCGCCCCTAGCGGTGACTATCAAGAACTACAAATCTTCCATAGAAACTTAAATGAAGTAAACTTTTTGAATATTTCAAAAAAGCATGCTATAGATCTAATATCTAATTCTATATATGTAATACTTACATCCGTCTATGAACGCCGGGCTAATGTCTGAAAGACAAAAACAAAAGATGAAATTAACGCTATCGGAATTATGTAAAATGAACCCAAACATTTTTTTCGTTAAACTTTATCAAAGACGACTTCTTATCTTTGAACTTTAAGACCGATATCGTCTTGTTAAACTTTAATAACTTGATATCTTCAATTTTATGTCTAATTTTATTTGATAGTATTGTCTATTCTTACTTCGTTGTTTTTTTAGGTAATGTATACTCGTAAATTTTAAAACAAAATATTTACATACCAATTGGCTCGTAACCGCCTTGAGCTGTAAAATAATGAAACAATTTCATAAATTGTTTTTTACTAAATAATTTTTTATTGAACTTTTAAGTAAAGCTGACTTTCTTATGAGGGATATACGTAGAATATTAATTTATATTTTTGCTTTAGCACAATATGTTACTTACGGAGCACAGGTTGCGACCATGCTGTATCGACTAAAAAGAAAAAAAAAATTTAATAAATTTCATTTCAAATTTAAAATAATTGATAAAAGTTTTTATATGATTAGGTTTTAATGTAGTTTTGAACATACCGTTACCGTTGTCAATGAATGGTGTATCTGAAAAAAAATGTAAGATGGTATCAGCAGTGCATAAATCAACCTCAAACTCGCCGACGAACGCAGCGCTGTCATAGCATAGAGATTAACTTCCAGTTGCACAAACATCCATAAAAATTGTCGTTCGTTTAAATTTATCGATATATATTTTTTTTTATTTAGAATATGAGGCGAAGTGAAATTCGAATGAGCTTATGCCGCCATTAAACCTTCATGGACGTGTGTTCATTAAGTGATAATCAAATAAAACCTATTTGAATAAAAGGTTTAATTAAACATGATAATGCTGCTTTGGTCAACGAGTTCGAGGCTGTTTCTATAACAGAATGGCATTGCTATTATATGAGAAATTAATCTTTGCTTATTACCAATAACAAGAAATAAAATACGAGTATATATATATATGTAGGTAGTCAATGTCAATCTACTTAGAGTTCCTAATAAAATCAACGAAAGTTCAAGTTCAACGTCAAGAATTTTTAGTAAAAGTTCTCAAATGCGTTTGTTAGAAATTAAATAAAAATATATCTAAGAATTTATTTTATCTCATACAAATTCTAATGTTAATTTACCTTGGGCTATGGTCACCGTGAAAAGAGCGATCAGCAAAATCTGAAATTAAAAATAATGTCACATATAGAAGTGCTTAGTGGACAGCGTATTTCCGCGAGCCTCGAATTTCAGTTCGTATGAATGGGTTGAATATCAGAAAGAAAATGGTCCGGTCCATCTCTAGAGCCTCTCCTTTTTATGCCCATGGATATGCCTAGTGTGAAATACTATGTTCTAAAGCAAGCGCCCGACTCGTACGTAAGTGAATACTTCTTTGTACACTTTTAAACACAATTTGTTAGCGCACAAATATGTAATAAAATTTCCAATACCCATGGCAGTGCTACATAGTGTGAACACTTAAGAGATCTAATAAGCGAATACCTGTCTTGGTTCAAGTAAGATAAATTCAGTGTTTGATTTAGTTCTTAGACAAGGAATAAAAATTGGGCCAAAACTTCTGTGCCACTCTCTAAATAAGAATTCATAACTTAAATTTGGGTTTTTTAACATTATTTTTTTGTCATGTGTCATCAAAGTAATATAATATACAGTGGACCCCCGGTGATCCGACAAACGTTTAGCAGGGCAGTGTCGGACCATCGAATTTGTCGGATTATAGAGTACTGCCTATAGTTCGGATTTTTTTACAAAGGAGTACCTTGTAATTCTACATATATTGTAATTCGATCAGTGTTATAAGTGCTCTGAAGTACAAATCATACTTCATTATGTATATCGAATCTAGTAGGTAAATTAAACAACATAATATAGAGCTTATGTATTAATATAATGTAAAAGTGATGTCATTAATGCTATAAAAAATAATAACTCACTTACGTAGGTACTAAAATAATTTGAAATTATGAATAAAAAATTGAATCAATCAATTTATGAAGCATGGAAATTCACTTGTCAAACTACTGAAAGATTCATTTCGATTTAAGTGATCTAAAATATCAGATTTTTCTTTAATAGTCAGATTTTTGTGCTTTCGCTTGTGGGCTTGTGACGACATTACTAGGTACGTATACCTATACGTATTACGTACCTACGTAATACATAATGAATAAATAGGTAAACAATGAACGCACGCGGACCACTATCACTTGTAGTCAAATTCATACTAAGCAATCCGAATCAAAACAAAACCTACGCGTCGAGCGCATTAATAGTGGCGCGCACAAGTTGTACCCTGTTCAATCATGCATTACCAAAAAATATTCGGACATGTCGGATTACAGGGGGCGCCGGATTAGACAGGGGCCGGATTACCGGGGGTCCACTGTATTGGGTTTCATTCTAATATTTTAGTTATTTTTACAATTGGAAGGCAGTTAACTAACGATATCCAATATATATAGGTACTTGACTTACCAGTGCGGTCTTCATTTTTCGCTTATGATAGAGTACGTACGTCTATATTGAAATGCTTTTAGAGATTACTAACGTGACATTTTGGCAGAGGCTTATATACGAGTTCAGGGTTTTGTTGATAGTGCTTTGCATGTGTTAGCTCTGTAAATAATACAATAGGTAATGATTTTTTTTTCTGCGTTTACTCGCCGTTTAATACTACAGTTCATTGAAAACAATTCCGAGTAATTTGTGTTATCTAAGAAATTTTCGCGTTAAAAGTTTGTTTTGAAATAACATTATGGAAAAAAAGTTTAATTCACAAATGTATTAATAACAACAATAGCACTTTTTCTTATATAATTGTATCTACATATATGTTGTAGATAGATAAAGTATTAATTTTAATCAACCTTTGAAGTTTAAGACATTTAGTGAAAAAATTCTATTGATTCCATTTTTTCTTTAAAAATACAACACAAAATTCATTGATTCTACGTGTCTCAGATATTTTATTCCTATGTCGTTTCGAAACTCACTTCACTTATGCCACGAAAAGTTATTAACTATAGGCTAGTTGACAACTTTTTTTATTTCATAAATTAATAGTCCATTAACATCCGACAAATAATGTCGAAGTAACAGCATGTCTTCGATTAATATTTTCGGAGATACGGTGCTGTGTTTGTAGAACTGCTGCTAGTTGGCCGAAAACGCTCCCTACAAATTCAAGGCACTCAGTGACGTCACACGGTGCTACAGTAGCGAAAAATGTATGGGCGTCTGGACATTTTTTGTAATATCTTTGTTATTTGTGCGTTTATGTTTATAGCTGTTATAATGAAAGTTGTAACATTTTTTATATCTAATTTAATGCCTTATATATTTTAGCAAATTTTTGTAGTAGATATTCTCTACTTTTTTCAAGTTTTCAAAGTGTAATATTTTCCAAATCAGTGACTTCAAATTTGTTAAACATTTATAAGTTAAAATGGTTCATATTTTTCGAAGATATAACAAAAACTTGTATTTTCACTTGTAGGACACAAACCTATTCAAGATTGAGCGGATGCCGCTTTGCCATTCCAGGTCGAAGCCGTTGTTTTATTTTTATTTTTTGTATAGATTTTAGAATCTAAATGGATATTGGTAAGATATTATGCATGTTGTATTCACTTTTTAAAGTTCGTAAAATTATAATAGATCAGAGTCGATCGATTATAGCTCGATGGCGCAATGGTTGGCGGGTTTAGTCTGCGATACGGTTGTAAAGCAACTCTCGCAATGGTCGGTTATAGGACGGGTGGCAAAATGAAATCGCATCTACAGTCGTTAATACCCAACAATCCGCACTAGGCTCGCGTGGAGTGTTATGGCCGTTCTCTGTATTCGATTTGATTCGAATACATCATAGGGAAGGTCTGAGCCCCAGCCAAATAGGCTGATGATGATGATGATGACAATTAAAATAAGGCCCTTCAATATTTAAAATTTTATGTAGGTGCTATTGTATCTGTACTGTAGATAAATCTAGTGAAAAACGAAAAATAAATTGACTTCTATGCCGTGACAGAGCAGCGTTCGTCGATAAGGTCGAGGCTGTTTTGTAACAGGATAGTACTGCTGGAATAAATGGAAGTAAGATGACATAATTGACTTTAATTTAAATTGGCATTTATAATACATTATATAATTACGTTGTAATACATCAGTTATAACTACAACATTGTACAGGACAGCATATCAGACTATACAAAACTGACATATTTTTTCTTTGTTGTTTTTTGTAACGAAATTAATTTTTATTATTATTAAATCTTGTAAAAACAGTCGTTTCAAGTGATTTTACCCTTTATAGAACTTTGTCAATTACACATTACCCAGTAAAATATTTATTTTCATTAATCAGGCTTACTTTTGCCATCATTTAGGTAAAAGCCGTACAGGCAGGATATATACATATATATGTAGCCGGACACGATGCCAGGCCTTTCCCCAAAAGAGAAGGCGCATCCGTGCTGGCGTTTATTAGATATGCTATATGCGTTTTTACTAGCTTTCGGGCAGGTCCGTGTGGAAGGAGAGTCGCACCCCCTGTCGCCTGTCAAGCGGCAGGGACAGTGCATAAAGCATTCCCCTACGTAAGAAAAGGTAAGGAGTTTTTTAATTCAATTTTATTTATCACAATAAAATACAATCAAATAATTTAAATAAGTATGTTGTGTGTTTATGCTATGCAGATTAGTTGCCACCACGAGCCAGGGGGTTGTTATCTGTAGAATAAAAAATTAACACATACATTAAAATTCAATGATTGAAAGGTTAACTAAAATCTACAGCTATCAGATTTGAGTATAAATTTAAATAAGAAGATTTAATAAAATTAATTTGATACAAACATTCTTTGGGACGATAACTGCCCTGGACATAAGCAGGGCTCGCGTCTGAAACAACACAATAACATAGGTACAGTCAACAGTTTTCTTCATTTGATTTTTAACCTTAATACATTAGGAGTAGACTTTTTTTATAATAGGCTCATAGGCAAAGGTCACAAGCATAAGTCTACGGTGTGACGAGCTTGTCCAGAAGGAGCCTACTTACTCTTTATCTTCAATAGGTCTGGGTTATATGCACCCAGGAATATACACGCCGGCAAGGAGTACCACTCTTTGGCAGAGCGCAATAAAAAGATAAAGAATAGCGATCTACATTGCAATTGTGCAGTTTCGTGCTATTTGTTGGGTACATTAGCGCCAGAGTATTGAGTAATTGTTCTGAGACTATAGTTCCGAGACTTAGCCCTCGTAAAATAAAGCTTATGTCGTCCGCGTATGATATAGTTCCCGTAGGTAAGATTTTTTTAAATTGATCCAGTAGTTTCGGATCTTGTTATTACAAATAATCAAATTTTTCCTTTAAGATTTTAGTAAAGAATATTTATTTATTATTTTATAACTGCTGACTAATAGTAAACATTTTATTTGGTTTGCAAATATTAAAAAGACTTAATTAACTTACCGATTGGTTCGCATCCACGATTTGGTACTGTGAAAGAAATAATCTTCTTTATTTTGTTACATATGTGTTTACCTTCATTTCGTGTGAGGCCGTAGTAGGCGATGACCATTAACCCCTACGCGTTAGACTTAGATCACACAGCGATTAAACTCAAGTTTGACACTCGTATCTCAAGTCAAGATAAGTAATTACTTGAGAGAATGTCATAACTTAAGCAAATATTTTTAACCAATAAACAAGAATTTGAATGAAGTAAGCACGCAAACATGTTTAAATACTTTTATTTTTAGTTTATTATTAACGTTTCTGACTTCTTTCAAATTCTTGTCTATAGGTCAAAAATATTTGGTTAAGTTAGGACATTTCCTTAAGTAATTACATCTCTCTTAAACTTTGCGGTTTGTAAGTCATATAATATATACTAGCACCGGCGTTAGCCGTTTGTGTTACCAATTATACCCAAATTCATTGTTCAAGCGGCAAATGTTGCTAATAGATTTTGAAAAATACATACGTTTAGGCTTGGATAATTTATTTATCTATTTATATACATGGGTGACCAATAGCAAATAATTAAAAAATTACAATACTTAACTAAAAACAGACAGTTCTCGCTTATTGATTGGTATATATAGGCTACGCTGCTAACAGTGTAATATATTAATAATAAATACATATATAAAAGGCTAATGGCATATATATTTTAATTGGAGATATTACTTATTTAAAAATTATAAGTTACCTATAAAACGCTTAATTTGTGCTTCGATTTTGATATAAAGGTCAACGTTTACTCGTTTTGATAGTTCGTTATAACACGTAGAATTATACAAATTACAGATCTTTCCTTGATTATGTACTATAAAACAATGCGTATCTAGATTAACGGGTATTATATCAATATTGTTATTTGCGGCGCAAATGAACATATTTTTTCATGTTAGTTTAATAAGTTTCATTTTTTCACAGCATGAAGGGACTATAGACCTGAGTTTTAAAATGGTTTTGATTTCAATTAAATACCTTTAAGCTTTCCCGAAACAAAGGGGTAGATAGACATAAGGATACAAAAGTGATCGATCCAATAAGGGTTTCTTGTTTAGGAGGTATGTAACCCTAAAAATTTTCTCGAACTCGACGTACGTAGAACTTCTATGCTGTGATAACGATGTGCTCATCGTCGAGTCGAGGCTATTCTTATAACAAAGTAGCACTTCTGATATCAAACCTTAAACTATACCTACATAAAAAATTATATCATAAGCGACAGAAATTCTAAACAAATTTTTCAATTAGTGCTTATTATGTTCTAATTCGTTATTAAAAAATATAATTTAATAAAAACCGCATTGCTGTAAACCAATTCAGCTGATATTTACGTAATTGCATCTCGATAGAATCTCACTTGCATTTTGCCAATTGTACTAGTACCTAAAGTCCAATATTAGTGCTGTACTCACTTAAAAATAGTGACAGATCTATAAAAATATCGGAAATTAGGAGGTACGTTACTATAGTAAAATACAAGCCGTTAATATTCTATTAGCATTAGCATAATTGGCTTGCTGCCCTGGCCATTCCATGGTGTAGAGGAAAGGGCCTTCGCGCACTTTATGAAAATCATTATCTTCATTTGTGGGTTTATTTTCAAGGTTGAGCACAATTTACAAAAGCGAAGCTACTATAAATATAGGAGAAATTATTCTGCACTATTCAATAAATGAAAAATATTAATATGTTTTTAATTATGGGATCAAGAACGCGAAAATATACCATATTATGCAGTTTTGAAGTGGCAAAAAGTAAAAGCAGAAATATGTACTATAAAAATAACTTTATGCAGTTACTAACTGACCCAGCCAGGCTTTTCTTTAACTAATAGAGATAAATTATTGAGACAAAAACAATTCTATCCATTAAGTTGTTTTAATCTTTCATGGTCATTTACATTAGAATGATAGTTTTTCTACGAGTTAATTCGTGATCATGGCGCTTACGACAGCGCTGAAATATCAGGAACTCAATAAAAAGGTAACTTGTAGAAAACTATCACTCTAATATCCTATCCTTTATTATAGACTAAATAACAGATGAATTTGAAATTTGATTTAAATCGGTTCCGTGTTTCGAGTTTATTAATAACGTATACCGTGACACGGGATTTTATAGATTTGATATAAGTATTATTCGTAGTATAGTTGAGACAAAATGATGTACAAATAAAAATGTATTGTGACGTTTATTAGATGTTATTAAGTTACATTCATTTCATATAGAACTACATTGAATTCTGAATAAAGACAAAAAAATAAAATAAAAACAAAATGACAACAAAAACGATTCTATAAAAATAATTTAAAACAAACATATAATTAACTCAAGCATATTATTTACCGCCACGAGCCAGGGGGTTGTCGTCTGAAAAATACAAAGAAAAATAAATTAAATAAAAACATACACTTTTCCGCTAGTTATTTTAATATAACCAAACCCACATCAAAAACCCAAAATCGAAAAACTGTCTTTTAACTTTAGCATTTATAACGTAAGCTTCTACATTAATTAATTGTACACGGTACATTAATTATATGTAGGTAAATGTTTTTAAATCGAAAGGTTATATTTCTATCAAAAGATCATAATAAGAATCCAACGCGTTATTTACTAAAACCTTTTCAATATGATTTTGAATAAAGAGCTCTGGTTTTTTTAATTAATTGTAAAAAGTAATTGTTTCATTAATTATAAATCCGTAGAGAATAAACTTTTCTATACTGTCCTGGGTTTGGGACTTTGGGTATTGTGGTACTTTCGTTGTTTCAGATACTCCATAATACGAGTATAATCTGAGCAATGTATTTGATATTGTTCAATATTTATTTTATGGATTAAATAGACTGACGGAGTCAATTTATTTTTCAGATAATTATTGTCTTAGGTTTTACACCTACCTAGTCATTTCTGATTCTAGAATACGTGATGTGGACATAATTTTTTAAGTTTTTATAATAAGTTACATAATAAGTTTAAATAATAATGATTTTATAAAGCTCAAACGATACTAACAAATATTGGGGCGATATCCCTGGACAAAAGCAGGGCTGGCGTCTGAAAAATAGGTTAAAAAGAAAATATTGAATTATACAATTTGTTTAAAACACGATGTAAATTAACTGTAGCACTGCGATATTTAGCAACTTCCATATTTTAATTTTACACCTATATTACTAATTGTTAGACTAACTAAATTTTATGTACAAGCGTCATCGTATCTCGCAAACAAAACCGTCTGTTAGGCTCAATTTGCACCGCCACGGAATGGAATGGAAGTGAATTTTTGTAAAAAAAAATATATACATAGCATCACATTGAACTTTATTTTAATTTTATGACATCCAAACTAAATATGAGCCAAAATGCGTGCCTGGATCGATGAATCCTGAATGCCTGGATGCGTGACCTTTATATATACCGTAAACTGGGGTTACTTTGAATCGCGGGATTACTTTGATCAAAACTTCCTTTTCACATAAAAATTCAAATTGCGTAAAACAGAACTACTATTGTCAGAATTTTTTTTTGCATGGTAATACTGAGTGAACTGTCAAATTCATTTCTCCAGCGGCGTTGGCGATATCACTGCGTTTATGTAAAAAAAGGTATGTTTTCCGTTATTATCTATTTATTTGGAAAAAAATGTGTTGCAAAACTTTATGTGCATTGCAGTGTGTGTTGGTATCATGATTTTTTTGGATAAAATTCATTAAGTATTGTGCATTCGTGAACCCATAACAAAATATTTTATTGTTCTAACCTTAAAGGTTGCATTATGGCGACGCTTTATTTTATGCGGGGTGTCATTGATAATGTGCATGGTGTAAGATTGATCAACTGATCAAAGTCAACCCAACCGCTTGCAGCAATATTTGCTTCAAGGCTTTGTGTTTTTTTTTTAATTTCTTTTTCAGAATAATGCCACGAGTATACAAAAAGAAACTGGGCTCTCGTGAGTACCGAAATTACTCACAAGTTAAGTTCGTCGGATGGACCTAGAAAAAGGACAAGACTAAATGTTGAACCAGGTACTAGCGTGTCTACTTTTAGTGCAATTGACACGCCCGCGTGTGAAGATGCCAATGACTTAAACGGCTCTGATAGTATGGATCAAGAAAACTTATTGTTAATTGGTGATGCAGAAAAAACGCATAACGTGATCCCAGCGGACGAGAGCAGTGAGTCTGATAATCCCATTTCAGAGACACAAGATGATTTAGAAGTGGGCAGATTTGTCTTGGCAAAGTTTTATTCACGTCGAGGAAAAAAAACTTACAAATATGTGTGTCGAATTACTTGCGTGGAACCTTTATTAGTCGAAGGTTTTAAATCAATGGATTATAAAAAAGATTTTAGGCTTGTACGCGACGACATTTCAGAAATTGAAGATAGTGATATTCTAAGCTATTTGCCAAGGCCTAAAACAATTGCTGGGGAAGATAACGTTGAATGCGTCCAATTCAACTTTGATGTCCATATCTTGGAACTCCCTTGAACTAACATTTTTTTAAAGCCTCTGTGGCTATTTTGATATATCTTTTTTAAAGAGTTTGTTTGTTTTTGTCATTTAATAAAAGAAAGACTGAGTGTGATCATATATTAGGTAATATTTGATTAAAATAAAGACTGATTATATTATTTTTACGTAGTTTTATTCGATCAAAGTTACCCCAAGAAATAAAAATTGCAATATATTGTTTTCCTGTGAACCGATTATATTTTTGTTTTTTTCTTTATAATAAAATAGTTTCTTTATATTAGTTTTTATTTTTTTTCTCTAAAAGTATCAATATTATTTTACTTTTTTTGTGGTTATCAGAAGAACTATAAAAACCGATAATTTGATATTTTTTTATTTAAAAAATGTCAATATTTTTTTAAAATACAGGCATCTAAACTTCAAAAATGATCAAAGTAACCCCGGTTTACGGTAATTATTCAGAATGCGTCGCGCGTTACCCCGGGAGATGCCTGATTTTGTATGATTTTGAGTTTAGTATACAGGTGGTTTCGGGGGCAATTAGGCCAAAAACATTCATTTACTTTTTACCAAAAAAGAAGAAAGCTTGACCATGCGGGTGCTTATATTTATTTAGGTATATATTAATTGTGATCGTTTAACTACTTATTAAAGATTTTACTCACCGATTGGTTCATAGCCACCGTTTGGTGCTGTGAAAGAGAAAAAGTTTTTTTTTAAATTTGTTCCAATAAAATATTCAAATAGAGATACTATTTGAATATTTTAAAAAGTTAAATTGGAGTATCAAAATGTGTACTAACGTCTGACAGGCTGTCCGAAGCTTGGGTCAACTGTAAAAAGAAACAGAAACACCTTATTATAAATTGTTGGACGTATCAATCAGGTAGCGAACCACATAAACTAATCATCATCATCATCAGCCCTTTTTACGTCCCCACTGCAGGGGCTCAGGCCTTCCTTATGGATGGTTAAGGAGGATGGACAACTGGTGGCGTCCACTTCGCAACGGGCCGTGCAACAGAAATCGTAATATTTTAATTACGCCATTACTTCAAAACCAAACGTCATTCAAAGACCAAATATTATCTACATAAATTGTACTTAGTGATCAAATAAACTTTTTTTTATAAGGATTAATAGCATGAGTAAAATAAACGCGTTTAAATTTAGTTAAAAAAAACAAGATTTTTAAATAAAGAAATGGTTGTTGGGCCTCACTAGACATAGATAGGTATAATGTGTTGCGGACTTTTTTGTAGATATTTATAATATCTACAATTAATTAGAACATTTTATGGTTCTATCTATTATAGTTTAGGCAGCGTACGCAAAATAAGTAACTTTTCTGGGTGATTTTTTACACCTTGTGTTCGATAAACCCAAATATCTTATGGAACCCTATTTTTTCCAAAATAAAATATAGCCTATGTTACTCGTGGATAATGTAGCTTTCGAATGGTGAAAGAATTTTTAAAATCGGTCTAGTAGTTTTTGAGCCGATTCATTACAATTAAACAAACATACATATAGAAGACCTAAAAAGAAGAAGTCTTAAAAAAAAATATATTTAAAAAGTACGTAAGGGTATTTAGAAATTTTAAATAACGCCTTAACTTCAACATATTGTAACGTCCGTGCACATTACTATAGGTATGTTTACTCTTCGGACGGTTTATGGTCAATGCTGGCCGTTAATATTTTAAATTATTACTTTTTCGTATTCGAATTCACGTGTTCGTGTTTTGCTGGTTGACAATCTTTCTTTTCTGATCGAGACCGGCATAGAGTGAGTATCATAGTATTTCGTTGTAAGTGTTTTATAATGCTATAATATTCGCAAATAAAATCAAGACTGAGGAATTCTACCAGTTTTTCATTGCGCCACCCATCTCCACCATTAGATTAAGTTATTAGAATATTAATAATATTTATAAAATCATAAATTTGCTATTCATAATTATATAAATTTTTAGCTCAACCTTCTTGTTCATTAAGCTTAGGTAGGAATGAAATTAATGCCATTTGACATATCCACTTACTGTTTCCGTTATCGACGAAGTGAACTGTAATGAAAGAAAAAAAGAAATGTAAATAACTTATATAGAAATATGGTGCATCCCATTCCTGAACCTGATTTACTACTTGACTTATTCTATGTGCATATCTTATTTGTACCTAGGTCTGTAGTTGATTGTTAGACAAGTTAAATAAAAAAAAAGGTGTTACATAAAATGGTATATATACAAATATGCATATTAATTTATTTTTTAAAAATAATAAAAGTACCTACCCTCTTGTCCGTTTTGATCATTGGGGGGCGCGTTATTCACAAAGTTAACTTCTGTAAAAACAATAATATTACAGTGAATTAGTTATGTTCATTTGGATACTAAATATATTCTACATTTATTTTGTAGTTTTTTAATAACGGCCTGTTTCTAAATTGAGAAAAGTAGTACCGAATCTCAACTGATTATTCATGAACTAAAGATTTTTATACTATTTCACATGGCAAAGAGTCCTAATTTTATCAAACTGCTATAAACTGATCATTTAAAAAAATTAAAATCAGAAACGAAAACCTGTTTAAGTGACGTCTAAGTACAGCTTGAGAAGTTGAAATTCTCAAAGTAGAAACCGGATGTTAGTACTTGCATAAATAGCGAGTTCAATGTAGTTGTTCTCCCGCGTCTTCGCTCGGTTAGGTGATATTTTTTTTTTATTCAGTCGACTAGTTTTGAATCCTATTCGATGCAAACAAACAATCAAAACCTTCCTCTAATAATATTCGTATAGATACATCATGTGTTCTCAGATTTATTTACAGTTTATTTGGTTTCAGTTTTTGTCCACGACCATGGTTGTAAAAAATCACAAATTTAAACTGCAGTTTTCACTTTTCATTTTAGATCCTTTATCTGAGTTAAAGTTGCGATCGTCCAATTATCGTGTTCTTTGCTGAGCAGTGGTATTCTATAAAAAATTGAAGTCGAAGCACATCGCTGTCACAGAATAACGCTTCAATGGAATAAAAAGTTTATTCTTTTCTGATGAAAGTTTTATTCGATATAGCCTCTATAATGTGACAGTGCTTTGTTCAATGTCAATTTCGTCGCTGTATTTTTTTTTACAGAATAGCACCGTTAATCTCTAGTTAAATACTATATAATTACCACTTCCTCCATTTGGTGGGTTGTTGTTGACAAAGTTGACTTCTGTAGAGCAAAACATAGATTTGAATTCATTTAAATAAATAAAAATCCACCGGCTGGAAACTAGTCAAGTGCGAGTAGGACTTGCGCACGTTGGGTTTTGTACCATTATTTATAAAAAACTAGCTGATCCGGCAAACGTTGTTTTGCCTTATAAATTATTTCTAAGTTTATTTATAGTGTAGACAAAAAATGGTGTAAGGATGGACAACCCTTATCGTATGAAAAATAGATGTTGGCCGATTCTCAGACCTACTCAATATGCTCACAAAATTTCATGAGAATCGGTCAAACCATTTCGGAGGAGTATGGGAATGAAAATTGTGACACGAGAATTATATATATATAGAGATAAGTTTGTTATATGCGAGTTGTTGCCGACAAAGAAGGTTAAATACCCGTTTTTTCTTTTTACGGTATTTTTTATAAAACAAATTACAATATATGTCATTCTAAAAGTCCCCGAGCTAGTAGTTTTATTTAAACGTATTTTCAACATACATACATACATACCGAAACGTATTTTTCTAGCAATTTTATTTCAGGCGATTTTCTGCAACGGAAGCCCCTTATAATATTTATTATCTTCAATTTTTTAAGTTTTTGTTGTTAAAGCGGCTTCAGAAATACATCTTCTGTAATTTTTTTAACTATCTAGCTACAGATACACACAATTTACTTCTCTCAACTCTGATGTCCGTCTGTCCGATTTTATACTTTTTTCTACGGAACCATTATTAAAAACCTGTATATAATTACCATTTCCACTTCCTCCATTTGGTGGGTTGTTGTCCACAAAGTTGACACCTGTTGAACGAAACACATATAGTAAAACATATATTTAGAAGGGTGCCAAACGAAAGGTAACAAGAAAGTTCGTTTGATAAATCGGCTATGCTATTCTGTTAAAAAACAGCCTCGAACTCGATTACGAACACACCGCTACATAAGAGCTGCAATGAAATAAAACCTTTATTCTCTTTTCAAGTTTTTATTGATTGAACCCAAATTGAACCTCTACACTCTGACGCACTCTTCGTCAAGCTGGAGACAGGTTTTATGAAAGAATGGCATAATATTCTGTTCCTAGGTCAAACGTTTGATTCCCGGTCGGTTTCCTACTCAACTAGGAAAATCAAATAATAATCCACGGACAACCAACGCTCATTTTCTACATTGAACCGAGCGGAAATCGAACCCGGGAGCTCAGAGATGGTGACACCTTAAAATAGGCGTGTGAACCATTCTGCATCGAGACGTAAATGTGAGAATTTTCTGTTACCTACAGGCATCTGTCTTATTATATAAAACCATAATGCGTGACTAAATTTCCATGTAATTTTACCGAAAAACGTGGAAGTAATTTCGGTCTACATACAAGATGATCTCATTTTTATAACAGCACAATTATCGTTATAACAAAGTCAACATAAAGATTACATCGCGGAACTAGTTCTTTATTTATTACTGTTTTCCCGCTACTCCGCCTGCGTAAATTTTAGCCTATGTCAACCGCCCATGTTGTAGCTTCCCGTAAGTGAAAGAATTTTTATGATCGAAAGTATTCATGTTAGTATAGATTTGTTAAAAATAAAACGAAAAATTTGCGATTGCTATATTAATTAACGCTTCGGAGAAAGTTGATCACGTTATTAAAAGAAGTAAACGAAATGATCGCAAGAAATAAATAAAATCACATTTGTAAATTTGAAATTGTATCATGGCAGAGTGGCCAAAATTTATTAGAGTTAAAATTAGTTATAAACGTTATCACAACATATTTCTGTGAATATGAGATATATACTTTTGACCCTTAAAATAATGAGTCAAATCGGTCAAATATAGTTTATCAAGTTAGATAATATAGTAAAACTAAATAAATCTCGTATTATGAACTAAAGTGAGATTGCTCATCGAGATTACTTTCAAAGGGGTTAGAATATTTTAGTATGTAGTCTGGCTGTCAGACCCACAGGTAGCTAGGTATTTCTTTGTTTTTCAAAATAGCTTCGTCCATAAAATTTAACCAATAGTAAAAATATATATTAGTTTCTAGAATTGAATTAGGTACACTGTATGTACAGAATATAAGATAGTAAGATGTCGCTATTTTGAAAAAAGAAGAAAGTATAGTGGATTGTTAACCACAAAGCACTCCGAAGAAAACTATTCATACCTCGAGCCGAAGTCATGGCCACCACAGCGAGGAAGATCTAAAAAAGAAAAAACCCTTTCAAATATTTATTATTTGGAATATTAAATACTTATGACACAGATTACCTTCATATTATAATAACAATGATAATCAAGAAAGACAGAAAATAAATAAATAATTATGTTAAACATATTTAAAATTTATATTGTTAGTATTTTTATGGAAATTATTTAACTTTTTTATGAAAAATAGCAGAGGTGACATATTTAATCTATAACATGTAGTTGCTCCGATAAATTCGTTTCATTTTAGTTTGTCAATAATGCTGACGTATGTAGATAACGATTAATGGGACGAGATATCGAAAAGGTTATAATTTAGATAGATTTTTTATTAAATTTGATTTTATGTTAAATCATCAAGTTTAAAAGTTGATTTAAAGAATCATGGCCACTTTCCGTACGTTGATTGGCCTGTCATATGTTTCTTTTCATTCATAGCTTTCGCTCATTCTTATCAAATATTTATGTCTGATAAATTAGGTAATTCCTTTGGCTAGTAGTATAAGTTATTTGAACTTACTAAATTGGTTAGTTAAAAAAATGGCATTCCTACCTTAATATTTTTTTAAATGATTTTTATCATTAAATTTATGAAATAAAGGTTCTTACTGCAACAATAATAAATCTTAATTCGGTAAATTGCAAAATATAATTATTTTTATTTATTATAATTAAATACCAATAATATGGCCGCATTTTGACAAGCTAACTAGGAAATTTGAGTATACATTTTAATACTGACATTTTCACTGCGTTCCATAGTTTTAATATTAAGAAGGTAATTTTTGTTTTTGTTTAAAATGTAAACAAGCTCTGTTATGGTATGCTTAAAAATATATTCATAATGCTATGATGGGTTATAATATAACATCTGTTTAATAATTCAATAGCTACGGTTGCACTTCATTTGGCTATTCACAAATTTGTCAAATACGACAATGAGTATTTTATTCAAATACGTAGTTAATCTGTTTCGTCACTCACCAGAGTCGTCTTCATTTTAGTGTTAAAACTGTAACAGATTCAGTAGGAGACTACGCGTAAAAATTCAGCCGCTCCATATATATGTTGAAGTATTTTGATAACACTTCGCACACACACACATATATGTGTATATATGCTTATTTGCTACAAAATGATCTTTTGTGTATCATCATTAACGCTCTATTATTTTTCCTTAACGAATTCCGCTAAATATTCGTTTTTGCAATTGAGTAAATTCTGGCTCAATGGTGTCTTGAGTTTAAATTGAACATTTTAAATTTATGTCACCTTGGTTGGTTACCATGTGTTATATATTTTGAGACACGTACTTATGTAAAGTGTATCCAATTACCTACAACGTGCACTGACGAAAAGTTAAATAAATGGCTTGTTAACTGAATGCGTTTCTATACACATTTACTTCCAAATAGGGACGATGGTTGGTTAAAAAAAAAAGAAATAATAGATTCGTATTTTTTTGTTTTAATTTAAGAGGAAATATCATAGATAATAGGCATTATAATTGAGGACTACATACTTCCAGGGTGTGACTATATCGAAAATGCACAAAGGTGTGACGCCATGCGACATAATAACTAAATATATAGCTGTAAATTATTGATTAAGCAAGAAATAAACAGATACGTGTTTAATATTTTTCAATAATTTACCTGACGGACAGACAAATAAAAATTTCCATCTCTATTGGTTACATGTTGACGTTAATATTTATTATATAAGCGTCAATAAAAACTTTAAAATTAATTGAACCATGTAATTAATCTTTTTTAACCTTTTTATGTACTCTTTTACTTATTTATTTTAATGGAATATGTTAGACACTGAAAGATATTAATGTTTCTGCTTCATTTGTTTTGTTCTTAAGGAATTTTGTATTATTAGAGAAGTTAAGATTTTTTTTTAAATTTAATTTTTCATGTCTGACGTTTTCTCTCTAATTAAGAGATATTAGCATTTACTAAGATGTAGAGATTAAACGTTTCTGATTACTGTAATAAAACTGTTAACAAGTAAATAAAAAAAAAACAAAATATACTTCGTATTTTCTAAATCCGATAACAGGTCGGATATACGGTATCCGCTGGATGAAAATTAAAATCTCTTTCTTAACTTTTGAATCGTCCATTACAAGCACTTTTGAATCGTCCACAATAATAATTTGGTCGATGGACAGGACGGATTCCTAAAAATGGCGGGACTTTTCTGTCATCAACAGCTATCGTCATGTTTGGCAGCTTCCAAAAATACAAAGCTACCTACTATAAATATCTTTAATGAAGCTAAAAAATTCACCAGCTCCAGACTTTTTAAGAATTTTGAGCTAAAGATAAAACAATTTTGATTAATTGTTCAAATATAATAATACTACATTACTTATTGGTTCTGAAATATAAATATTATGTATTAAGAAATATTCTACACGAATTAATTGATATGATTTTATACTAATTCCTGTGCAATTTCTATTAGGTTCAGGAAAATAGTTCCTACTAAAAATATGACTATTTAGTTTTAGTCGAAAATAAAATATAGTTTGAGTAACTTTATATGAAAAACTAGTGACGCATTTCGGGTTTCAAAGAATACGCGTGTTGTTTTGAACAACAAGATGTTTGATGATTTATTATTATATATTTAAGTTTTACACAGACAAAAATAAATTTAATATTGCTGTTACAAACACTTGATTACATAAATAAGACAAAATAGGTAAGGCAACGATCAAAAATCTTCTATTAATCCATAGATATTATTATCACAGGCCTACAACGATTTTAGTATCTCTCATAGGCCAAATCATGGGTAAGTATTGAGTATAACCACTATGTTGGCCCCGTAAAATAATAACAACTTCAAGTCGACGCAGATCACCCAGTCATGTTCAAAATATTTTATTTTCTGTAAAAGAATTGAAATTGCCTCATATTCTTGTCTCACACAAGTTGAGTGAGCAATTGGAATGGGAGTATATTTATTTCTATTATGTAGAGGAAGTGCTTTGAGTCTTCGTCAATAAAGAGACGCCATTTATTGGGCTGATAGATCATCAAACCCATGAAAATCAGCAAACCACTCACATTACAGCAAAACATAAAATATTTATCAGATGAAAGAACTGCAATAAGCTTCGTTCTTTTGTGCGGTATATAGACACTCGAACGTCGATCTTGACGCTTGACGTAACTCAGCACGTTCATAAGAAAGATCTTAGTCTCTGATAAGTCTCTGTCATTAAGCTCATTCTGCAAAAATGGCTTAGGATTTGATGCTTTTCGCAGTTTCAAAGTCATCATCTACTTGAGTAGAAAAGGGTATTTCAACTTGATCCTCTTGAGATTGCTGCACTACTTGATGAAAAGCTGGTATTGGAACTTTTTCTAAATGAAGAATGGGTCTATGTGCTGAAAAAATATAAGGGTATTTCCATTTATGGCGATTGTTTTTGTTGATGTCCAATATATGAGTCATAAGTATAGTCGTCATAATGATTTTTTTGTTTCCGCCATTTCATAGGCACTCCAAACTTCAGACTTGCGTGTTCCTTTCTCCCATTACACATACTTTACGTACACTATGAGGCACCCACGCGAGGCACACATGAAGTAAGCAAAATACAAACGACTCACAGTGTTTGTAATTGATTTAACCTGATTTTTCAGTATATATACACCATAAACATAACAAAATCGATCAGGATCGTTAACACAACATCTGGACGTACTAGCTATAATGAAATAGTACTTGTAATTTAGACTTTATCGATGATATTGTAACAATGACTTTTACGAACAAGACCAGCAGAAATTACAAATGAGGGTAGGTAAACTAGAGCTGATGAGTTAAAATGGCATAAGGCAATATATCGTAGATTACCTACTTTATCGACCATAGACACGAACAGAGCTGCACCAAAAACAATTTTTTTCCGGTGCTGTTTATGATGTCCATTAAAATTTTAAAAAAGTACCTTTTAAGTTGTTTATTGTGTCTATGTTTTAATCGAATAGAGAAAAGTAAAATTCCGAACGGTAAAATTCCTGACAGTGCACAGGCTAGCATTACCTACATATGGCCTGACATATCGGACCGGAAAAAATCGTACCGCCGGACCTGAAAATTCAGTGTTGTACACGTTCGCCCTTACGGTCGCGACCGATATATTTTAAGATTTATTTTATTATCTTTGATTTTTTTGTTTCAATAAAGATGAAATGTTAATTTTAATTATAATATTTAATAAATTTGACCTGTTTAATTTTTTTTTAAAGGTAAAATAAAGTTGAATATAAGTGCCAATTTCGTTTATTACACGTTTAATACAATATAGGGTTTGGAGTTGCCGGTCGTTCACTTCATTTGCCACCGCGAGCGAGGGGATTTGGGTCTGAAACAATAAAAAATAGATAAACATAAAAAACGATAAATAATTCGTTTTTTTACCAGCGGCGTAGCGTTCCTTCGAGGGGCCTTGTATTAAAATTAGTGGGGGGCCCAAATGAAGGGTTAAAATGTTTGCTTACATTTGATTTTCACTGATAGGCCTTATACGGCGCTAAAGCCCTAGTTTATTACTACACACTCCAATTGTTCTCTTTTTTTACCATTTCAATATGTTCTTTTTATGGGAATAAAAAATTCTATGATTTGCGTTATGTTAACAATTCTTTTTTTTTCCTTAGACATCATTTAAAAAGTAAAAACGATTTTTTAATAATTAAGAATTTTCTATTGAAATCGGGCGCAATAAGGTTATTTACCTTTAAGACGAGTACGTATTATAAGTATTTTATGCCTTTTACAGCTTTTTGAAGTGGGTATTATTGGCAGGTTTCTTTATCACCTGAGTGCTGAATAATGTGTAATAAAATAACGTAAATAAGCGTATGTCACCCGCGTATGATGTAGGTTTCCGTAGGTGAAAAAAATATTAACATTGGTTCAGAAGATCCGGAGCCTTTTCGATGCAAACAAAAAATAATATAATTATTTTTTCTGTATATTAGTAGTATGTATCATGTCACATGTAAAATTAAATTATGAGTGAGAATTAATAGCTTATTTTCTAACACACAATATTTTATTACACAAAATATTTTTTGACACAAAATATAATATTACTTACATTGCCTGGGTCTGTTCTGAACAATTGCGGGACCTGTGCCTGAAATATATAAAAAAATTTAAAGATTTCATTGACCCTGAAGACTGTAGTAAGTAACTACTATTAATTCTAGGAGATTTTCTCACAATCTTAAAAAGATAATGTAGGTAAACATTGTAAATTTAAAATAGATGAATTTTATATTTGTTTTGAATACCTACGATTAAGTATCATGCTTAGAGTTTTGTTATCAAGTCGACATGTACTCAGATTCTATCGAAAAGATATTTGAGCAATTAATAAAACCAACAAAAAAAATTTCTTTGGTTTTTAGTGATAAATATATTTTTTTAAGATGTTTAAAACTTAATAATCTGTATCTTTAAAATTACTGTATAATGTACCAATAAAAATATATAATTTAAAATTTCCCTCTCTCATTTTAAAATTCTAATTTGTAGTCGGATATACTTACTGATAGGTTCAAATCCACCATTTGGACCTGCAAACATTTAATAGACAAATTATTAACAACTTACTAATGAAATATATGATAGTTATTTGAATTCAAGAACAAGTAAAACTATTTCTCATATTATAAGTTTTATATTAATAACAAATAGTACAAAATTATTGAATACTAGCTGTTTCCCCGCGACTTCGCCGCTTTATAACATTACATTTTGTCCCACAAATGTTCATCACACTTTCGTAAGTCGGACTCATGTGGTACAAAATTGCAATTTTAGTATTATTCCATATTCATATTACACAAATAAACAAATCTACTACCTTCAAGGAGCAAATATTATTCCCTTAGAATCTCGTACTAGGTTAACCTTTGTTAAGTCTCTGTTTAATAATATTAATTTTGAGTATTACGAAGAGCAATCTCAGCGTAAATTTACTCCAACGCTAGACCTTATTTA